CCGACTATGCATATATAGTTTAGTCGCTATATATGCATATCTAATATTATATATATATATATATATATATACATAATCATCGTACCACTATACTCATATGTATAAATTACACATTCACCGCCCGAAAAGAGAAAGAGAAAGAAAGGAATGTATAGGCTTTTCTTCTCGGCTCGACTTGTGAAGTCCTCGTCGACGAAGACGATGACAATGACGAGGACGATGACACAATGATAATGATGATGATGTTAAGACTGCCGTTTTCATATCGCGAGTCCTTTGATTACTTGGGCTTGTTTTAACATCACTTTTTGGAGCAACCGTTATCCTTCTTACCTTCTGGCTTTATTTTAGCTCTGTTTTGTCGTTTTTCTGTTTTTTGAACGCGGCCGAGCCTTGGGATTTGTCGATTTGCATTTAGATTAATCTTTAACCCGTTGTGTCCAAAAATTACATTTTCTTTCGAATATTTCTGCAAATTTTTAAATCCAATGTAAACATAAAGATATAGTTGAAAATGGTGAATATAACGGGTTAATCGATGACTGATAAAATTAAATAAACGAATGGATTGTTAATGTTTTGGATAATTGCAGGACACAATCGTGAACAGATATTTTCAGGAATGCTAAAGAGCAGTGTGAAACATGTTATTAAGAATTCAACTCCCAATCCTACAAAGACGTGGAATGATCACATTCCAAGTTTGTGAGTTTTCAGGTTTTTCTCGTATCTACAATATGTAATATGGCTTCCAAATTATTTAAGAGTTAATCAAAATTGTTAAGCGCCTCAAATAGTAAAACTTTCAGCAATGAAATTTGAAATATTAAATTCTTTTCCGAGTATATAAAATCATTACAAATTTTATACACATGAATATAAAATACTTTAAGTTGCATGACGTTTTAATTCGATAACATCTACATGTTCTAACATTTTTATAAATTCAAAAGGCGTTTGTCAGTGCACGAGATTCCAAAGTATTAACGATTTATCTTGAAGATTTCATAGAATTGTGCAGATGATTGTTGATGCTTTATATTTACGCGAATCCTTCAGGCTCGACCTCTTAGACGAATGTATTTGGCTTCTACCTTGATTGCGTAACGCTATTTGCTTTGAGATCGGTTTCGTATTAAATCTTAGTTCTAGAAGTAAAGGTTGCTCAATAACGAATGTCATTGTTCGAGAATAACCGTCGGTAAACATGCAGAATTTAAATTTTGAATAACAAAATTCAGAAATGAATGCATTCAAATTTATTAAAATTTCAGCAATAAAATGTAAATGTATAAATTTATTCAATTTGGGAAGATTTATCAGTGTCTCAAATTATTCTCGAGCACGATTCGTTTTAACTCCTTAATCGTGGATCCATTTGTGTGGATTGATCTATTAGCGATCTTATGGATCCTCGAATGGGTATGGTCCAAGGTGATCAACTTCTCGAAAAGAAAGAAAAATTCGAAAAATTCGAATTTTTCTTCGAAAAATTTACTATATAATTCGTTTAAATTTATATTGTTCTAATGAGATTTTAGTTGATAAAGACTCTTGCATTTTTCTTTAACTCTATTTATCAATATTATTTATGACAATATAATATGTATCGGTTGTACTGTAGACGTATTAAATTTTTAATTTTTTTTTTTTTAGATTAAACTTCAATCCTTTTAATATTTTCTTTTATTTACATCTATAGAAAAGGATGTTCATATCTCATTGAGAAACAAATTTCTAAATACATGCCGGAATTATTGGGACAAATGTTAATTATGTCGTTGATAAGTAATTTTAAGGTAAATAAACGTAATAAACGTAAAGACCAAGTCGATGCCTTTTGGGATCAGAGGAGTGGTTGGTCACCTTGTAAATGTTTTTATCAAGAAGCCCGTCTGCGCCCCGGCAGTTTACGCCAGGCTGAATAAAGCTCAAAGAAGGCACCGGGAGCGACAGGCGGGCGCAATATCTTCGGTTATTTCTTTTCACCATTATTTAGTGACTAACATTGTTTGAGCTTTGAATAGTATCTTGATCAAAACGGTGTATGTCATGTGTAAGATATACTTGGGTGTGGGAGTACCACTCTGGGGATCGGCGGCGCGTTGGATGATCTCTCTCTCTGATGTGGCAGAAGGCCTATCTTTCGGATTATCTTCAAGCTTACTCTTAGAGGACAAGAATTATCTCGATATTATTAATTGTTAAACAATCATCTTGAAATTAATGAAATCGAAAATTATTTTGGAGCTACTAGATCGATTGGAAATGGGATTTTCAAGTAATCGTTTCGAAATAAGCTTTTTAAAAATTGGGGAACGATTCTCAAAATTGTCACATTAGTTATTTTAATTAATCTAAATTATTAAATTGACTTTAATTGAGCGATCCTATCTTGAACCATTGGTATCTTGATCGAATTATCTTGATCGAGAAATATCAAAAAAGAGAATGCAAAAGTTGAAAGTTGAACTTGATATTCGGTGAGATCACTTCGAGTAGTTGCTGCAGATAGTTGAAGAAATAAATTGAGGATTAAAATAATAATTAAAAATTATAATCGAAGATTTGTTCGATTTCGACTCGCTTCGAATCAAGTCACTTCAAACTGAATTATTCGTCGTTAATTTCAAGATGATAAAATTAATCGATTCTGTTATCGCAGAAAGTAAGGAAGAGACGATTCAATCGCGTCCCCGATCTCGACGACGTGCTCTACGCGTGCTCGACGCGGACGGGGTTTTACGATCTGCTAAGATCACGCGTGGATTCAATCTTTTCGGTACCGCGTCGGGACGCGGACGGGGTGCGCCGGCACTCAACCTTTCTGGCAGTGTGGTACAACGTACCATGTTGGCTTAGATCGAACACACATACACACACACACACACACACATACACACACACACACACACCACATATATATATATACACACATACGCCATTCGCTACCTGTGAATTCAGGTGGAGCTGCATTTCGCATTGCCTTATGTTACAGCGTATCCGGTGGCGCCGCATCCACCAACTGGTTTTGTCCCCGCGCCGACGCAACCCCCGACCTACGGTGGTAAGATAAGCTTTTCCTTTAATAATCCCGCAAAAAGTTGGGAACGCGAAAACACGCGCATTCGTTGACTGCGCTGTTTGAATATTTATTTCTTTGTCTTTGTCTTTGTATTATTATATAATAATATTATTATATAATAATATTATATTTGACTGTCAAAAATAAAGAAAATTTTTTTTATCTGTGTGTTGTATAAAAATAAAGCTGAAACAATTGCTAAGGATAGAAAATTGATGATCGAGAGATTTAGCTGTATCCAGTTTTTCTTTTGTTATTTATTTAAAGTTGAAACAGTATGTACGCTTTATATTAGATGATTCTAATAATATTTATATTTATTAATATCAATAGTTGCAGGCGCCGCCCCCTATGGAGTATTTCCTAATCAGCCTCAGTTGTACGCAACGCAAGGCCCACCACCGCCGACATATGATCAGACTCTTACACATCCTATGGTGAGTCATTCAGATACATTTTGTTCAATCAACGATTCAAAGGACACAAAATGTAAATTTCATTTAATAAATATCATTTAATAAATATCATTTAATAAATTCTCATTTAGATGTATCAACCAATGTACGGGCAAGGATATCCCTTGCAATATTACCCACCAGGATATCCCTTGCAATATTATCCACCATTAGCTGCAACAACGGCATATTATCCTGCTATGCAACCTGCTCCTGTAAGACCTACTATTATGGTACCCGTAAGTATTGATAAATATTTCTTTAAAAAAATATTCCTTTAAAAAATTTCATTTTTAAATTTCATTTTTTTAAAACGTAACAGTTGTGAATACATATGCACACAACAATTTTGTGTGCACACGAATTATGTTGATTATGTTGATCTCAGTGTAATAATATTGAGATCTGATATGGCAATTTGCTTAATTAGCGACATAATTGAATTTTGAATTTTATCTCCCGATTCCTACTTAGTAGCAGTTCTTTCAACATTATTTTTATTTTTGATAACATTATGGCAAGAACATAATTACTTTTTGGTCAGTGTACGATCAACATAAGTAGTTTAAATTACATTTGTATCGAATAATTAACAATTAACAACAGTTAACAAATTTCATATTTGAAAACCGCTGCCATTATCAACATGGTGAAGTTAATTTAATTACAAGTTGAAATATTTGTAAATATTTGTTTACAATTAAGATTGAACAGTAATAAATTAATAAAATTAAAAAGATAAGTTTCAACATAACTTGGTTAATTCGAAATGAATTAACTATTTTCATCAACTATTTAACATCAATTATTTTCTAATATTAATTTTTTAACATAATTTTTGTTCAAGTATAAATTTATTACCTTTGTATTATCATTTTGTTTTTTATTGTTCTATTTGTTATAATTTAAAGTAATTTAATTTTAAAAAGTGACAGCATACTAATTTAATATAAATCAATGCAAGATTTGTAGTTACGACTTGAAATTGATTGATTAATGTATCGATGTTATGCCTATTGCCTTTGCCGCTTCTTAATTTCTAGCTATTTTCGCAGCTTTTTCGCAGTGTATACTTGATTTCAGGAACTTGGCATTCTTATAATTGCACGTATATGCACGCACGCACGCACACGAAAGCGTGTACGCTACAAAAGATAATACGTATAGTAATATATCTCCGGCAATATATCTCCTTCCCATCTTTCCCTCCTTCCTTTCCATCCTCTCTCTCTCTCTCTCTCTCTCTCTCTCTCTCTCTCTCTCTCTCTCTCTCTCTCTCTCTCTCTCTCTCTCTCCTCCTCTCCCCTTCCACTTCTTCTCCTTCTACTACATCTCTCTCTCTCTCTCTCTCTCTCTCTCTCTCTCTACTCTCTTCTCTTCTTTTCTTCCTCTCCCTCTCCCCCTTTCTCTCCCTTTTCTATCTCTCTTCTTTTCTCTTCTCTCTTTTCCTTTCTCTCCTTCTCTTCCTCCCATCCTTCCTCTTCTCCTTTTCCTTCTATCCTTCTCCCTTCCCTCTCCTTTCCCTTCCCCTTTTCATGCCTCGTTCCTCCATCTTTCTCCATTTCCACCTTTTTCTCCGCTTCCCTCGCACTTCCCCCCCTCTTTATTTTTCTCTTCCTCTTTTCTGTTTCAATTAAAAAGTTTTATGATCAATTTCTAAAAGAAGCATGTAAATCGATATTCGAATATATCGAAGTTATTATTGTCATTTTTCCACGATGCCGAAGGTAATTTATACTGGACTGTTGTTCGATCTTTGCCGACATAATACGTAGCATAACTTGCAATGCGTGCTCTCGGCACGTTTGGCTATCGGAGTATATTCTTTTATTTACCGAGATAACGAAATTATATGAATCCCTAAATTCGTTTGAAAAAAGTATCGAAGTTTACCAGTATAGATCTTTTTTCTTATTTTAATGACTAATGTTCATGTTTATTTTACAGAACGGTTTCGACGGTACGCGGTTCGATGGCATCTCGCAGCCCGTATTGCCACCGCCGCCACCCGGAGTGGCTGCGAATGCTGCACAACTGGCCGCGATGGCCGGCCACAGTGTAGCCCTTTCGCAAAAGAAGGGCTCGTTCCTGGGAGGAGGAACGGAGGGCGGTTATACCTTTTGGTAAACCACCTTTCATAATACATCTACTACACACGCGGAAAATACATACACATACACACCACATTAACTGTCGAAAGCGCTGTGTGTTGAGATGATGAGATTATGTAGGTAAATTTCCGTTAGAGCTCTGCTTTTCTCATCTCTGCCGGAAAGCAGCTGCATTAATATCTATTAGTGTATCGTGTGCGCGGAGTGATCACCTACATACATGCAATAGATATACAATACATACATACATACATACATACATACATACATACATATATACATATATACATACATACATACATACATACATACGTACACACATACACGAAATATACATTTTGACATGATGATACTAAGATAGCAACCGAGAGTTTCCATGCGATTCATGTACGGCGATATTTACGATCGATAAAAGCGATCCAATGATCTCAAGGACATTGTCGCCGCTTGGTGATCGATCTGCGCATCTCATGTACTGTTGAACTGCAGAGAATCGTCCCGGACATGTCGAAACTCGGACATGACGACGCTCATCGAACATCCTCGAAAGCTAATTCCTCGAAAACTCATCGTTCTGTGGAAAAGTCAGTATTGAGCGTTACGCGAGTTTTGAAGAAACTCACATATTCACATATTTGAAAACTTCGTGAAAGCCTGAGATTCGAAGTACTGAGAATTTGTGATTATTGAAAACTTGACAAAATTCGCTCGGATCACGAATCCGAAAATTCCAAATTTCTACGATCAGACTTTCCGAAAATTCAAAAAGTTTTAAAAAGCAAAATCGCAATTTGTTAATTATGAGCTAGAAAAATGTAAGTTTCTTTGTGATTTTAAAAATCAAAGGACTCAATATTTCCAAAGAATTGAGAATCTCAGTGTTTTGAAATATCTTTTTTTCTTTTTTTGGAGGGGGGGAATTTGGCCTTTCTACAATTGATGAAGGAAACTCAAATTGCCAAATTGCCAAATGATGTAAGACTTTAAAATAAATATAAATTCTAATTAACCCTCGGAAGACGAATGGTTTTCGACGGACGCGGGAGACGAATGCAGGATCATTTTGACTCATAATAGAATTTATATTTCAAACTAGTTTTGGAAAAGAATTATATATAAAAACACATTTTGAACATATATTTTCTTTTTAATGTTCTAATACATGAAATAATGAATATTTTTTGTATGATTCTTACAAATTTATTACAATTTTCATCTTGTACTGTATTTCATATCATTACCGACGCAAATACAACATCGTGATCGTTTTCGCGAAAGTCCTCCGAACGCCATTAACCGTTTCCGAGTTATTTTATCGCTCACGGATCAAAATAAAACCCTGCATTTGTCATACGAGAGTTAAAAGAAATAAAATAGTGACTTATTTATGATCTCGACTTTCCCAGAATTCAAGGTCTTCAGGATCTAGCTTTAGTGGCTTATATTAGTTAAGATTCTACACACAACAGAAATTTGAAAATTTTAGTTAAATTTTTTAAACTTAATTACCGATCGAGCATTTCCGATGAGGTAAAATTTTAAGGATCTTTAATCATATAAATATACAAATTGCAGAGGACCCATATGTCTTTGATGATAATTCATGAATTTAGAGGTCCGATTACGATATGAAAAGATCCGAAGGCTCGAAGCAGTTAATATGCATTGATCGCGAATAGTTATTGCAAGAATGTTATTTTATGAAGGACAAATTAGTTAAATCAACGAAAGACGGACTGATATTACCGACAGAAAAAAAAACGATACTATCGTTGCGCTCATCAAAGCAGAAAGAAGAAAAGGATCGAGGATAAGGAAAGACTAAGAGTCCAATGTCGATTATAGGAAGTCACGAGACTGCGTTGATATTTATATTTAAATTATTGTTATTTAAACAATTTATTTGCAGAGCCTCCTTAGAGACAGAATCATCGGTGTGACGTATTTCAACGATTTATTTTATATCTCAAAAGAGAATAAGAAAGGGAATGAGAGAGAAAGAGAGAGAGAG